GATACAGACCCTCTCAATAAGGTCCCCTTTAAGAGAGCCAAAAGTAGGGTTCAGAAGGGGTACCCTTTAAGGGGTACCCCTAATAATACTACCTATCAACCGTTTTGCGGGAACCCCCGGGGGCGGCTCGGCCCGGTGCTTTCGAGCCGAGGTTCGAATTCGACAGCAAGTCTGGTGTGCCCTTGGGATGCACTGAATACTTTAAAGTGTCAATACACTTTTTTATCCTATATTTATTTATTTACTTATTTATATATATATATATATTAATATATATATATATTAATATATATTAATATATATATATATATATTTATGTTTATATATGTCTGTGTGTGTGTGTGTTAGACCCTAAAGCCTTGGCAGGCCAGAGGATCCCATTGTGGAGGCAGAAAGGGCTCAAACGTCATCGTTGCTTGCCGGTCCTGTCGTTTGTAGCTTGCAACAACCTACGATTCTACAGCGGTCTTGATCTTTCGAAAAGGGCTACACCCCACTATAATTGCACAAAATATGTTATATGTATATATACATATATATATATATATATTAATTACATTATGTATGTATGTATGTATATATATATATATTAAATTATGTCTGTATATATATATATATATATTTATTTATTTATTTATATATATATATTAAATTATGTGTATATATGTATGTGTTATATATATAATATGGGGGATTTACGAATTGTTCCGACCCCTCACTGGTCAGCACTCCAAGGTCGAGCAGATCTCCAGGGTCCTCGATGCTCTGAAAGGGCTGCCGCAGGTGCCCATGTCAAGCGTACATATCCATACAGACCTACCTACATTCTTAGGGGTTTAGGGTTTAGGGTTTAGGGTTTACATATCTGATTATCCATGCAGACCTACCTACATTCTTAGGGGTTTAGGGTTTAGGGTTTACATATCCATACAGACCTACCTACATTCTTAGGGGTTTAGGGTTTAGGGTTTACATATACAGACCTACCTACATTCTTAGGGGTTTAGGGTTTAGGGTTTAGGGATTACATATACATACAGACCTACCTACATTGTTAGGGGTTTAGGGTTTAGGGTTTACATATACATACATACCTACCTACGTACTTGTGTAGGTATAGATACCTGTATACGCATGTAGACATTGGAAGCATGGTCTGCAATGGTAGGGCAGCAGGCACTAATTTTTCACAGAGCTGACGTCCTTCGCCAGAAACCTTCCCACCAGCACAAGTTGCAGCAATGATTGCTCAAATCGCTGAAGCATTGACATCGACACCTTTGGCTGTCCCTTCACCCATGGCATAGTGATGTACGAACCTTCTCGCCAGCACCGTGCAGGTGGTCATGTGCTTCTGAGCGCCGTAGCTCGAGATTTTCTCATCGAAGCCGTCGCTTTGATGCGCGAAAGCAGCGAAAAGGGTTCGGGGCTGTGGTGCAAGCGCGCAGACAGCCGGTCCTATTATTACGGACCGCGGCTGAATGTGAGGCTTGGAAATGACTGCTCTGAGTATGTTTAAGGCTAAGCCTAAACCCTAAACCCTCATCCGTCATTTCGGTGATTGTCAGACGGGAGCTGGAAGAGAACATGGCAACCTTGCGGCTCTCCTCGCCAGAGCCAGAGAAGGACAGCGCCGGGCGGGTTTAGTGTTTACAGTTTCGGGTTTAGGATTAGGGGCTTGGGGCTTATAGGGTTTAGGTTTTAGGGGTTTAGGGTTTATGGCTTAGGATTTTGAGGGTTCAGCCACCAGTTGATTACTGAGGCCCTTAAATGCTCGTCTGGCGTGGCTGTTCTGGCAAACTTCGCAGAAGTGCTGAAGAAGTACCCTAGTACCCAAGCCGTGTCGTGCCCAGCTCCTCTTCGATGCTGCCTTCAGCACGCAGCCCGCCTGCTACCTTTCGGAGCCTCATTCGTGCAGAAATCGGTTCCCTTACAGTTCAGGTCTTGGGGTATATGTAAGTTCAGTGCAAAAAACTCCAAACCCTGTTCCCGTTATGAAGGCACCCAATATGCTGAAAGTAGGCCCCATGTCGCGGATTCTGAAACCCAGTGGACTGAACCGGTTCGGTCTACTCGGAAAGGCTTCAGATGGCAGTGATTCTCATTCCTGTCCGGTTTTGCAGTACTTCGACAGTTCTCTCCACTGTTGAGGAATACAGCTTCGAAGAGGATCCCGAGTGGGTGGCCGAGTGCTCCTGAAATCCGCTTTTAACCTTCAGATGACGGTTAAGGCTCATACCGCGGGCCGCAGTATACGACTTACCAAAGCGATACTAGATAGTTTCAAATGAAGGGCATAGATTATTAGAGCTGAGATAATGTGGCCCCTATACCCTACACCTTAAACCCTTAAACCCTAAACTCTAAACTCCAAAGCGCAAGGCAGTTAGGGCCGTGGACCTTAAAGCATTAGCGAGGTCCAGGTTCGAGCCTGCATTGCTTTCGAGCAGAAGACATCGCCTCTGCGGCCATATTCATGAGGGTTAGGGCTTCAGAGGTTTGGGTTTGGAGTTTAGGGCTTAGGGCTTTGGGGTTTAGGGGCTTGGGGCTTTAGGGGTTTAGGGTTAGGGCTTTAGGGTTTGGGTTTGGGGTTTAGGGTTATCGCCAGTCCGGCCAACTCACCTCAAACTAGAGTCTTGAGCCATCAGCGATAGGTATTGCCTTCTTGCAATCCTTGGAGTCCTCGTGTTGTAGCTGCACATACCGTCAATGTTCTTCTTCATGCGGTCCTACGCCGATCGTCAATGTCCCTGTATTCCGCTCTTCCCAGGTACGCGCCCGACATCTTCGGCAAGCTGACCGAGAGCGAGGACTGCCATTAGCTGTTAGCATCCAGGCACCATTCGGATTTAGGGTTCAGGGTTGGGCTGCAGGGTCTTGTAACGTGTGGCTAGCTTAGGGCTCTGGTTACATACGTCCTGTGACATCCTTATTCGACCTTGGGTAACATGCGGTTGCGTTTTTGCACGGAGTCTTCCGAAAGATGTTCCTTGCACGTTGGTGTCCGTACGCCGGTCCGGCTTATGGAAGTAATGTCTTTTGGAGCCGACGACAAGCGTCAGACCCGAACCCTCTCGAAGCTTTAGCCGGGCCCCAATTGAGCATCGAAGACTCCAGGAAGGGCACCATTTTTTCGCGGACTACATGGAGGCTGCGCTCGAACCACATTGATCCCGAAGCCCTCCTGCGGAGGTTAAAGCAGAATGAGGTCCACGCACGGGCTTTCTAGCCTGATTCCACACTCCGTGATTGCTGCCCGCAATATGCAACCAGTAGAATCATAATACCGGATTTCGAAAGTACTGTGGCTTTCCTGAAACATTCAACCTCCCGCCACGCCCCACGGAAAGTGCAGTTGGTCCGTCGCCGTTTGGATCGAAGACGGACTCCGTTCCCTGTGCCTGGCCCAGCGGGACGACAGGACCCAGGGAGGGCCTTCCACTCAAAGCATCATGGGACGTAGCTGTACTTTTAGTATCTTACAACTGATGGTAACCCAATAAAGGTACTTATCGCCTTACTAAGGCTACTAAGTCCCATGATCCTCCAAGTAGAGAGTTTGGATGAAGAGGGTCTGATGGGGCTTGGGACCAGCGCGTCTGGACTATCTTTATCAGCGCCTCCGTGACCGACAGTGGGAAAGAGTTCCACGGAAGGAGTTCAGGCTTCATCTTGTTTGGAGCGTGTTTCTCAAATACTGTAGCGCCGTTCGTGGAGGTTCCACAGTCTCCTTCCTTCTACTATCCGTCACCTGCCAGGAGCATGGACAAGCCGAGATGGCTGGCGTTGATATCATACTTGGTGCTGCATCAGGCGGAAGGGGGCGGCAGGGGGAGAGGGGCGGGAACATATCGAAGTGACCAGCTCAAAATCTTCTCAAGTCCTGGTGACGAAGATAGTATAGCACAGTATAGTCTACTATACTATGCTATACTAGACGATGCTATGTTATACTATGCTACAAAAAGCATCAACTCATATCTAGCTCTATCTAGCTCGAACAGTATACAGGATTAACACTATTCCCCTTGCATGTTGGATGCACTGCTGACCTCGCGACTGGCCAGGTGGCAGGGAGCTTTCCAGATCCTCTGCAGCCTAAGCACGATGCCCGGAGCCCAACTGGCCGCTTCAACTCTAAACCCTAAACCCCCAACTGGCCGATTCAAAGGCCGCTTGAACAAAAGAGCGGCTCGGTATGGTGCCAGCATTGAGCACCGTGAAGGGCGACACTTCAGCATCATCCGACCAAAAAGTCTACAACCTCGGTAGCAGATGGCCTCGTTGGAAGTTGAACTGTCTTGAGGTCCAGATTCTACAAAACCAATGTGAGGGCCAGGAGAAGGAGGTGGGTGCTTGTGAGCGCGACTCGGCTTCCAGGTGGGTCCTGCGGGGCTTGCTATGGGTAGCTGTCAAAACTAGGGTCCCTTTTCGATAAGGGTGCCGTACTGTTTGAGGGACCTACACAGTATGGTATCCTATAGCCCTATAAATGAACGAACCCTTAATGATCCTCGTATTTCAGGTCTGTGCGGCAAACACAGGGTCCAAAGGACCCAGTAATCAAGCACTTGGGTTTAGGAGCTTTGGCAGTCTTGGCTAGTATATTTGTGTGAGTGCTTGATAGTTTGGTACTTGGACCCTTAGGGTGTAGAAGCGTATTGCAACATACCACGAAGCCCCATTCGAATGATTGAGCCCCCCTGTATTGAAATACGGACGGGGGAACAGTGGTCTCCAAAGCTTCAACAGCCTAATCCTCTGTCTTGTTTCTGGATGAGTCGTGCATGAGCCCTTGACAAGAAGTCTAGCACATTTTCAGGTGGGTAGTTACCGTTATAGGAGCCGTATAGAAGGTCTATATACCTTATAGAAGCCTTACAGAGGCCCTATATTCCCTAAACTCCCCACCTGTAGTTTCCTTTAAAGAAGCGCTGCGCTTCCATCCGTGACTTGTCAAGGAGCCTATCCCTGCGCCGCCGCCTGCCAGCCCCGATCTTGCTCTTTGACTTCATCGGGGGCCTTTTGCACTCAAAGCTCAACCTCTACACTAATGTAAGAGCCTGGTTAAGAAACCCTGGCTGTGGAACCCCAATATGTTGGGATTTGTATAAAGAGCCCCAATAAGGGCCCAGGGTTTCTTAATCAGCTTCCTTTGAGAAGCCCCAAGCCAGTAACCAAGCAAGCTGAGCAAAGCTCGAAGCAGATATCGTCTCTGGCGGGCTGCGTCTGCAAACCCTAAACCCAAAAAGCCCTACCTGGCAACCTTTCCCGCTCCCGTGCCAGGCAAGTTTGCGCAGTGGAGCTTCTCGGATGGTCAGAGACCCTAAACCCTAAACCTTGTGAATACCTCGGTAACACAATCGTAGACGTTCAGGTTTAGGGCCTATAGGCCCGAAGCCTACTATAGGTACGATAAGGGGTTGGAATGGGCAAAGTGATATGTGTCCACCCTATTTTGATAGCAACCCCCTCACCAACACAACCATCCTACTCTGCTCATTAAGGCCCCCTGCATTCTGGAAGCTTCTGCCTCGGGCACTGAACTTGAAATCCATGCCATGAAGTTTGCATTCCAGTCCAGGGCCACCTTTTTTTATGGGTGGAGTGGGGCCATAGATTCAAGTTGCATCGAATGTGGGTTTCGTGAAGATTCCCTTGACAGTTGGGCTGTGCTGCACAAGGTATTTTCAGAAAATGAGGGACCCGAATATACCTCGATAGAATTATTTTGTTCTGAAGGGACCCTATATGATTTGTTGAATCCCTGCACTGAATGTCAGCATCTCAGGCAACTGGTTCTCGCTCGGCGGCTGCATAGGACTCTGCTCGCGGCAAAGAGACGTCGAGCAGTCCAACAACGAGTGCGGAATGCATGGCCGCAATTAATCGTGCATGCAGCATAATACAGAAGCCTAAATGCTTGCCCATATCACTGTTAGGGTTCCGTATTATACAAATACTATGAAGGAGCCCAAAACCCTATGCTGGTTGTTTAGGCCCGTTAGTTGGCCAGACGTTTGAACATGCGCCTAGACTTCGTGTCCAAGGTTGGAAACTCCTGGAAGCAACAGGCATAATATAGGGGCCTTAATCATTATAATAGGGTTTGGTGGTATATTATACTAGAATTCTGAGAAGGAATCCCCAAAGCCCTAATCGAGTTATGAAGGCCCCTGCAGTAGCCGCATCTGCAGGGGAGGCACACCGGACACCCGTCGCAGTGCCACTCTGCGGTACTTAGAAACCTGCGTATGACATTCTTAGCTTAGCGGGGGGCCACATGTAGATTAGGACGCGGAAAGCGTGTGTTAACAGTTTACAAGCACCACAGCCTAAACCCTAGAACCTGAACCCTTAACCCTAAAGCCTAAACCTTGAACCCTAAACTCTAAATCCTAAGTCCTACAGACCCTGTCGAAACTCGTCCGAGGAAAGCCCTGCTTCGGCGCGAAGATTGAGACGGCCAGAAATCCCGGCTGCCACCCGGGCCTTGTTTAGGGGTTGGGGCTTTAGGATTTTCGGGTTTAGGGTTTCAGGTGGTTTAGGGTTCAGGGGTTTAGGGCTTTTCGGGTTGGACCACGGTGCCGGATGCTTCGGCCAAGGTGCCAACTAGTGCCAAGATGCTGAAAGGTGCATTTCCTTGGCCGATTTCTGAAGTCCCAGAGAGTCTACCAAAAGTCTTCATAGTAGTTCCATTTTTGGGGGTACCTTAAATATGAAGTTGGCTAAACCAAACAAGGGGAACGGCATTGGGACTGTAGGTAGCCAGTAAAGAGCTGAGGGCTGCGAGAATGTCATGATGTACGTTCCTAAACCCTAAACCCTAAACCCAAAGCCCCTGAACCCTAAACCCCTAAACCCTAAACCCTAAACCCCTACTCCCCTAAACCCTAAACCTAAACCCAAAGCCCCTGAACCCTAAACCATGGACTCCCACCAGCCCATCAGTCGCTTAGGTTTGCCTACGGAGTGCTCCATGCATCCCACTGATTGCGTTTGGGCACAGCTGCTTCACGGAAATGTGGCCACCCAAAGGGTCTTAGGTACTGTTATCGGGAAGCCCTACATTCTACTATATTGGTACTTTGGGGACCCTTTGGGTCAGTGGAAGTGTAGACCCAGGTCTACTCGTCCTGTTTGCTCTGCGTGCACTTGCATCTTGCGGGAGATTGTAAGCTGATGTAGTTTCTCCTTGGAGGCCCTTTTGACTTAGTAAGTAGGGTTAGTAAGGTGGGTTATGGGGATTATAATAGGGCTCCTGGGGGATACTAAGTAGACTTACTAAGTCAAAAGGGCCTCCAAGATCTGATCTAGAAATGCATGGCGTGGTTGGCGTGTAAGGCAAGTACTGCTGTAAGGCAGGGCATTGTTTCAACAGAATGAATGGGCTCTGGACTGTGATATGCACGCTCGTGGTCGACGCTAAACTGTAATGTACTTTAGTGTAACATTCTAGTATGCCATGTCGGGCATGTAGCAGCGCATCATGCAACCTATGGTGGCATCATGCGGTACTAAGCACTACTTTGTGATTAGCTTCTCTTCTCGTTGTACACTGCAGCGCATTGGACACAGACGGTTGATAGAGCCCATACATCTGGGTTGCCGATAAGCACTGCTTCCATCAAGTATGGCAAGATGTAGTCGGAACGAAAGCTGCAGTTAGTGGCAGACAGCTTGTCAATTCGGTTTGGGCAGTTGAAAGTTTTCCTATACCATGAACTGCCGCTGTTCAAGTGTCTGATCAGGGATGACCTGACTTGAACAGCGTACCTAGTTGAGCAGAGCCCAAGGACTGAACTCGCCTGAGGGATGTAGCCTGATCAGCTATTGAGTTCCGTTGCCCGCCGAGCGAAGTCCTCCAATTGATTCAGGTATCTTCTCAGCGTCACATACATTTGGGAACTTACACGGGTATGTGTACAGACATGTAGACATGTATATGTGAATACAAGTGTGTATACATGCACTTACACATACACCCGTTTACGTGCACACACATACGCGAGCATTTGTTCCTGTTTTGTGCGTATTGCAAGTGTGGCACTTAATGCTTAGATCTTTGGGCCGAAATCCTTAGAACATGAGTCCTTTGAGCTCTAAGCGACTCGTTGGTGCAATGTATCGACACCCGCTTCCGAGGTGGTCTGAATGGACGAGAGAATACGACACCAAGGTCGGCCAGAGCACCAGGCCGCTTGTCCCGGCATTCTCCAGACTGCTGGGCTCCACAAGTCCCAAAGGGTCCAAATGATAGTAGAGTCAGTATAGTAAATACTTTACGGGTGTCGGGTTTAGTGTTATCTACCAAGTAGTAGTATACTACGTACTTTTTGAGCCCCGATATCTGCCCAGTATCTACGATGCTCTTGATAGAACAAAAGTTAGTCCCAAAACAGAACGGAAAACACTGTGGAAACCAACATTAGGACTGAAGATTATGGGTTACCTGTAGGCTCCCTTGTAGTTCCTTTTTATGGTCGGCATTTAGGACCCCAAAAGGTAATCCCAAAAAGGAACTGCAATGGAGACTACATGTAGTGTTCGCATGGAGCAACGGCGCAGTACACATTTTGTGCTTACGTCTTCTACATATTCACCGGATCGGTGCGGCCGCGTCCCCTCAAAAGCCCGGCGCAATGCAAATTCCAACGCATGCATTGCCATCCTGTGTTGGGAGTTTGGTACGTTGGCATAGCGTTTAGAGGATTCACGGATCCGACGCTTCACGGCCTGCATTATCTACATGCTGCACTGCACTGAACTGTACTGCAGAGTGCTCCGGTCAGATCTGGCAGTAGGTTGAAGCTCGGTACCGACTTGATCCTTTGCGGGCGACGCTGCTGAGGCATAGACGTATTCGGCACGAAGCCAAGTTCGGCGGAAGGCCGCCGCACATGAGAATTCGTAGTGTTTTGTCGTGGGTTTTTTTGCACATTTAGTCGGATGGTTCCGCGGTTTCGAACTGCATCAAATGCCGGTGAGTCAGTGAGTCGCAAGCCCTAAGATGCTGTTGGTCTTTTTTCTCATAGCAGAGGGCCCGCTTTGCAGAATGTTGCTTGCTGCTTTTTGTTCGTATGATGGGCTTGAACAATTACGAAGTGTCAGGATTCCGGTGAAGCTAGAAAGAGTTTGAAGTGATCTCCGTAGTTGTCCGACGAAACAAGCTGCCCCCCGAGTCTACCAGCCAATGTAGGGGCCTTAGTAATGTGGGGGCCTTAATGATTAGAATAGGGTTTTTGGGGCTCCTTATCATAATTATAGTATAGCCAACGTGACGACTATTTGGACCAAGTTTAAGTCCCAAATGCACGTTCAGGAACCGCGTCTCACAGTGGGCCGTTGTTCCCTTCTGTGTTCTTCGTTACAAAAATACCGTTGCTGTTGCCCACAAAAAAATCTGATCTTACCCAAACCATAAGAGTATTAGCATTTCCTATTTTAGAGACCGTGCTTTGATCTATATAGGTAACCAGGTACCTGGGACCCTGGTAAGTGGCGAGCGGAAACCCGAAACACCTAAACCCCAAAACCCTGAACCCCCCCCCAAGAAAAAAAAAAAAAAACAAAACCCTAAAACCC